TTTGTGGGTGGGGTAGTGGGAGGGATAGCATTAGGAGATATACCTAATGTAAATGCAAGTTAATGGGGTGCAGACACCCAACAGGGCACATGTATACATATGTAACAAACCTGCACGTTGTGCACACTGTACCCTAGAACTTAAGTATAATTTAAAAAAAAAAAAAGTCTTTACCTTAAAGAAATAAAAATTAAAAAAAATAAAAGGACATTCAAAAGTTAAAAAAAAAAAAAAAAAGAAAAAAAGAGAAAATCTCAGAGTTACCCGATTCCCTTTTCTCGATACAGTAAAACTTGGCTGGAAACATTCATAGTATGGCCAAAGTCCACCATGCTGAATAAGACAGACCTACACTAGATCTCATGGAGAGTTTGGAGTGACATTAATTTTTTTCTTTGTCTTCTGGCTACATCAGGGTTTTAGAGTAGCTCCTGAGACATTTGTTTATTTAAGGGATTTTGAATAATTAAGGCCCTACCTACTGTTTAAATGCTGATTGAAATATACTGAAACTTTGGCAAGGAAAACACCTTGGTTTTTGGATGGATGATCCATGATTTGAGTGGATATCAATGTTTCTGTTGACAAGAAAGTTCCATCTAGATAATGCATTTGATGAAATGTTTTCTCCAAATTAGAACTTTCTTATTAGACATTATCTTCCAGAAAGTTCATATCACTAAGACAGATAAAATGGGTTGTATAGATTATCACTCAAAATGAGATGAAATAGCAATATTTAGTTTGGGAAAAGTGTCAAATGAAACGTTTAATAATAAAAAACATTTATTTAACAATTACTACATGTCAGAAACCATGTTAAGTGCTTTATATGCATTATTTGATTTACTTAGCACATAATCACATGAAATACATACTTTTATTATCCTCATTTTCCAGATGAAGAAATTGACCAGAGAGGTTAAGTAAATTGTCTAAGATTGTGCAAAGTTATTTAAGGATAGAGCCAGAGTTAGGATTATGTGTAACATGGTGCTGAAGTCCTCATTCTTAGCTGCTACACTGTGCTCGTCTCTTCTGACTTCAGTGATCAAACAAGGCGATTGTGAATTTTACTAAACCTTTCCACACTCAACCCACAGAAGACATGATTTCTGTCGTGTGTGACAAAACAAGGTTTTATTTATGAAATATGCCACTGAATGTTTAGCAACCTGTGTTCTCACATAGCTGGCAATGGTATCTTTACTTGTACTGGGCTTAGTGCAGTTAGAACTTAAATTTCTAGAAGCTGCGTATAAACATGTTCTAAAATTTTGTTGTTGTTGCCTTAGTAACTTTATTGTGACCTGAGTGTTCCACGAGCATCCTAAACTTAGGCTGGGGATATGAAAATCTATTTTATAATGGTTTTAGGAAAAAGCAAGGTATTAGCAAAAAATTAGAAGATTCTGAATGCTATTACAACAAAGTATACATTTAAATGAAATGCAATAACAGCAAAGTGTACCTTTGAAAAATATTCAATAAACTGAATGAAATTTAAAAATATATGGCATTTGTATTTATATGTGAATAAGACTTTCTAACCCATCTATTTCTAAAAACCTTACGTTTAATAATAGACAAAATGCATGCTAAAGAATAATTTTATTTTTTCTTCACCTGTAAAACTGATGAAAATTGTTTGTTTGTTATTTTCACAGCTGAATTTTTATTCCTCTTGTGGGGTGTTTATCTCTGCTATGCAGTGCGGACAGTCCCATCGGCATTCCATGAGCCCCGCTATATGGCTGTTGCAGTTCACAATGAGCTCATCATCTCTGCTATATTCCATACAATTAGGCAAGTGATCTGTAGAGCTAGTAAATACCTTTTATTTTTCTGATATGTTGCATTTTAAATAGCAAAATTAGATAAGATGCATAATAGAAAGACTTAGGAAAGATAGCTTTTTATAAGTTGACTAATTTCTTTTATAGATATGGAAAATGAATAGTTTTTAAAGCTGTTGTTAGTTCCTTCTGCTGTGTTGTTTATTGCCTTCTATTTTGAAGGTTAACTCAATGTTATTGTACTATCTTAAGCCACTTATGGAAGTATAATGGAGTATTGTTTATAATATGTAGCACTTTTCGTTATGAAGATATAATGCAGTATGTGCATACATTGTAAAGCAGATACAGTTAACTCATCTATGTTTTCATTCGTGTTTAATGGGCTGGTTTATATTTTCAAAATCTCAGTATTCATATAGACAACTTATATGTATGAATTCTGTGGAATTTAAAACACAAAAACTACTTCAATCTGATGACTAGATTATCATGTGCAATGGGCTTTGTCACTGTCACACATTCTTGTAATGAATTTCTGGGATAAGAATGTATAGCTTGGTTCTCTATTTTGTGATCATCCCAGGTTTCTCTTTAGCAGACGAGAACAGAGGAGGAAGACAGTGGCTTATCATGAAGTGAACAAAATGAAACATATATGACTTATCTTCTGAAAATGTGTCCCTGATTCATATTTGAAAATGAAATGAAACTCTCAGGGCAGAACTGTAAGAAGGAATTCTGTCATTTAAAAAGCAACAAAAAGATGTCATCCAATTGCTTGACAGATATGGAAAGTCAGGACACACTTAAGAAAATTAGAAATGTTGAATATTTGTCTCTGGACTCAGAGACAAATCCCCTTTCTTTGGTTTCTGTTCCATTTTTGGCCTTCAGACTCTCCTGGAGATCAGTGAGAATGGAAGAGGGGGTGGGAGGAGGAGGCTGTGGGCCTGGGGGAGTTCTGTAGGATGCCTATCCTCTCTGACTTTAGTCAACAATCAGAAGATGTGGTCTTGCATCATTAGAAAGAGACATTGCCAGACAGCAGTGGACCACAGTTACTGCCTACACTTTTAAAACTCTTAAATAAGAAAAGGAGGTATCTATGGTCTGACAACACTGGAAACTCCATCAAGAGGCCAGGAATCTAGAGAACTGGCCTCTTTGCTTTGTCTTGCCCTCTCTCTCAAGAGAGAGGAGAGAGAAAGACGTTAGAAAAGGAAGGAAAGATAACAATGGAAATATAAGATTTTAAATAAGCAAAGTAAGAAATGGTTTTTCAGCTACTCAGACTGGAGTTTCAGGACCTAAGAGAGGATGCCCTCAGTCAACAGTATCTTGAGTGCCATAGAACGTCTCCTCCTGATGCCAGAGCTCAATCAGCCTTGCCATTTTCCCCAGACTTTCTTCCAAGAAAAGCTACTTTTTTGCTTATTTGCAGAGTATTTCATGATACAACAAACATGCTTTTCTGCAACCAGTTACAAGTTAAATGTTAACAAATCAACTAAAGAGTTATAAACCAGTAAGGCGGCTTCTCAGAGATGAGTTTAAATGTCTTCTATGGTCAAAGTGTGCTTATGTAGTGCAGAAGGTTGTCCACCAGCCTTTTAATAAACTGCTGGATTTTCTTAGAAAGAAATTGTCCAAGTACTTAAATCTGTTTACAGGTTTAATATCTAAATATCCTTTTATTCCTTAAAGCTGACTCTGTTCAGTTCTCATCGTTAAATTTCTTTTCTCAATAGATGTCAAACTCTAAACTGACCCAGGTTCTTTCAGGAGTAGGCATGGTAAACTATCCTTAAATGAATCTTTTAAAAGTTTAGGCTGAGCACAGTGGCTCACGCCTGTAATCCCAGCACTTTGGGAGGCTGAGGTGGGTGGATCATGAGGTCAGGAAATCAAGACCATCCTGGCTAACATGGTGAAACCCTGTCTCTACTAAAAATACAAAAAATTAGCCGGGCGTGGTGGCGGGCGCTGGTAGTCTCAGCTACTTGGGAGGCTGAGACAGGAGAATGGCGTGAACCCAGGAGGCGGAGGTTGTGGTGAGTGGAGATTGTGCCACTGCACTCCAGCATGGGTGACAGAGCAAGACTCCATCTCAGAAAAAAAACAGATGTTTGTTAAAGAAAAATCGTAAAATGATAAAGAAAAAAGTAAACTCCCCAATCACACTACCCAAAGATAATCACTGTTGACATCTTAGTATATCACTTTTAGATGTTTATGTGTGTTTGCATATTTATGATACATTGCACTTTATAGTCTCCTTTTCAGTGTCACTATGCAAGTTAGCATGCTGAGAAGTCCTGCTGCAAGAAAACCTATTTAACTAGCATTTTGCAAACTTAATTGACCATGGAATCCCCCTAAACCTCACTTGACATTTGATAACAGCATCCCCACTTCAGAAAATACTGTTTTACTACTGATTCAAGGTGACAGGAAGTGCACGTTAAATACTGATTGAAAACAGCTTTACTACTTTGCTTTAAATCTTTCCTACAGAGCCCTAAGCAACCCACTGGCCCAGCCGGAATCACATGAACATGAGCTTGGTTCTTACAGACACATGCTCTGATTGAATGCTCCATGTTGAACCTAGTAAATTTGGTGTTGAGTAGACATGACGTACTTGCAAGATCAATTTTCTTACAGACAACTGTGTGGACCCTTGTTATTTTTGAAAAGTGAGAACTTCCATTGGTAGCAGTAACTAGCTTGATAGGCTTTGATTTTTTAGCAAGCTTAAATAAACCTGAAGAAGCCCTATGTTTTAAGTTCCAAATTTGACCTACTATATCTTTCTGCCTAGACTAGATTGGATCAGACTGTGGTACATTGACTATAAAGAATCATAGCATATATTAGCTACTCTCAGAAATTTAATTTATATGTCTCTAAAGGATGAAGGAATGGAATTATAGTTTAACACAGTAAATCTGCATAACCCTGATTTTGAGGGAATTGATAGGGAAAAAGTAACAGGCAATAATAAATCAAGTATGTACAATGTCTTATTTACATATGGACTGAATTTATATATGTGATGGTTCAAATATTTTTAAAGTCCAAGAATAAGCAGCAATAACATAATAATTTAAATCAGCTATATCCATCTTGGTAATTTTTTTCTTGAATGGAATAATGTAAGACTTCCAACATTGAAAAATATATTCTCTACCAATATAGCATGTGTTCTTTCTTATATGCTTAAAATATAAAATTGTTTGTATGTATATATGTATATACACATATAGAAGTTAAAAACTATGACCACACATTATATATAGATTTACCTTCATTCATACCAAATTGTCAAATTGCACAAAAATAGACTAATAACAAAAGAATTAAGTCTAAAAGGATAAATAACGCAGAGGCGCTTTACCTAGCCTGTTATAATCCCTTATTATTTTTAGTGCTAAGCATAAAGCAAACCTGTGAGAAAGTACAAGACTTTTAAAAGTGTGTTTATTTTTAACCTCAATTTTCAAATATTTTATGCTCCTGGCTTTTAGACCTATTTTTTAAAAGATGAAATACTCTTGAAAAAATAAAGCTTTAAAATTACCGCAAAACCCAGTTTTTCTCAAAATATTTCTAGTCGGAATTACAACCTTAAAAACATGGCAGTAATTTAAAACTGATTAATCTGGGAGTGATGTCTGTATATTTAACAGTTGGTGGTTTTTTGAAGGTTCAGTATTTTAAATTATGTGCAAGCATTTGTCCTTCTAGATATTGTCATGCTAGCTTAAAGTGTATTTGGTTTGCATTTAAGATGGAATTCTCAATACATGAAGATCCTTTTATGAATTTGTCTCCTTTAATGTAACTTTCTGCTCCAATACTGGAATGACCCCCAACAGACTGTATTTGCATTATTTTTCCAGAGTGTTATATCCCTTATATGCCTCAGCGACTGTTACTTATTACTGAGTATAATGATCGTATTTCAATGCTTAAAACAAAAAACAAACAAAAAAAAACCTGACCCAGGAAAACAGACTGTGTCAAAAGTCTTTTCAGAAACTTTTGTCAAAACTGGTTCAGTTTTGCAGTCATATTCAAGGTATGTGTAAGGTCACACTTTTCTCACAAAGTTAGAGAAGATGGTTGGCCAGAAAGCCCTATCCCTATTTAATGAAATGTGAGCTATTGTGATGAGTGCCCTATACTTTATGTATGTTACAAGCCTATTTGGTTTGCATCTCTAGACACAAGGGAAAACAATTCTCCATTTTGGGTAACTCCTGAGCTTCCATTTTAGCTTGATATCCTTAAGGGAGCAGCATGGAGGTGAAAATGAGAAAGAAATCCTCTTGATGACAATTTTAAACATTAATGATAATTTACTTAGTAAATTTGTCATTAATATGGTAGAATGAAGATATAAAAGTTAGTTTCTTCCCATTTTAGCCATTAATATATGTTTGTTTTGTGGTTATAATATGGGCATTTTCTTAGGATGTTAACTTTGCAAATTTGATGATGTAAAACAAAATTGTAATTCTCTGATTTCAAGTGGCAAAATGTCGTATTTTGCCTTCATGGATAAAGAATAGATAAGACCTTTATAAAAGCAACCCCTGGTTTCTGCGTAAGGGTGAATCCTTAAAACATGAACTGTGTACATACACCTATTAATCTATGAAAACATTCCCAAATTACTAGAGTAAACCTTAGTACTGAATTTCTCACCATTTTTCTTGCAGAGGCATACTGGAACACAACTTTATAAATTTCTCAGTAAGATAAGATTTTTAAATACTGCATTTTAAATTTTAGACAGTTTGATAATTTGGAACAATTTATTTTAAAGGGTACATTTTACAAACCATTAGTATGTTTCATTAAGTGGTTTTATTCATTGTTTTATCATTTGAATTGTTGGATTAGTCACAAAGATAATTGTCCACCTTTTTTCTTAATTATAACTCTTTTTAAACATTGATGTTTTGTAGGCAAATTATGAGTTCTAAGAACATTAGAACTCATAACTCTGCAAATTTGTATTATAAGTTTGTAGTCTACTCTTCTTTTGAATTTACATATATTTCCACTTTGATTTTCAGAGGCCACTTTGCATACAAAATAATAATCTTGGGAATTATGCTGCCTTTCTTACTGTTGTTAATCTAAAATCATAAATAATAAAGGGTTCATATCTTATGCATCAAATTAAGCTTAGACTTTATTCTTCTGAGATGAAAATATATGCCATAGAAACAGTAATACAATTTCCTCTTTCTTTTTTTAATACAATGGGGAAAAAAGAGTTTCCAAGTAATCCTAGTGTTTTAAGTAGAATCTTAATCTTGGATTGTTAAACTCAGTGAATTCTCATTTCAGATTTGTTCTTGCCTCGAGACTTCAGTCTGATTGGATGTTGATGCTGTATTTTGCACATACTCATTTGACTGTGACAGTCACCATCGGGTTGCTTTTGATTCCAAAGGTATTCTTCTGATATTACTTTTTTTTTTTTTTTTGCAAAACTTATTTTAAATGAACATGGAGTTGTTTATCCTGTAGGCAAAGGGAGGTATGGAAATTTGCTTAACATTTAAAACAGTTTTAAAGCTCCCTCCTCAGGAAACTGGCTGTCTGTTTTCTTTTCGAATTTTGGAAACTTCTTACTTTTTAAATGCCTTTGTTTGTACAAAAACCCATCATCTGTTTGAGTCTTTTTCCAAATATATTGATGTCTAATATGTTTTAATTATTATGGGCTCATTCTAGCTGTAACATCAAGATCATTTTTTAAAAGAACCCTCCTATTCTAAGAATCCTCTTGTTTGGATTCATATCCAGAGAAATCTTGTGTTTGAAACATTCAAATAATTTTTATGTATATGGAAATAAATTATTATATATAGAGGAATCTCCTTAATGATAGACACTGACAGACTTATCCAGGCAGCACCATGAAATGAGGAAAAATGAGCCAGGACGCAGAATGCAGGGATTCTGGACTCATGGCTCTCCCAGAAACTGGCTGTGTGTTATGACAGTAGCCAGGACTTTTGATTTTTTTTTTTTATGATGTAATAGTAAGGCTTCCTGGAATAAAATAAAATGATATTGGAGTTTTTTTCTGTGGGGGGAATGTATTATACGAATTATAGCATTGTTATTATTTTCCTCTTTTATACATAAACACAATAGTAGAACACTGTGTATCTTTTCAGTGTCACAAAATACAGTGTTAGCACAACTGAAACCGGAATTGTGATTTCTCATCTTTCATTCCAGGCTTTTCCTCAACTCTCGCAGTTAACCAAAGCATTGAGATTCAGCCTGATTGAAAAGGCTAAACCATTGTAAAAACAGAACAAGATACCTATACTTGAATTACATCAACTAGACACAAGTATTTGTGTAGATTATCTTAACTATTTTAATACTTTGCATAATACGATTACACTTTTTTTTTAGATGGATGGAGGTATACTGAGATTATTTAATAAATTGTTACTGAGTTCCAAAGAGGAATGAAAACATCTATTCATACAAAACACTTGTACATGAATGTTCATAGCAGTGTTATTCATAATACACAAAAAGTAGGAATAACCCAAATGTTTACCGACTGATAAATGTATAAACAACATGTGGTATATCCATATGATGGAATATTATTTGTCAGTAAAAAGGAATGAAGTTCTGGCACATGTTACAACAATAAGAAGTGCAAAAGCCAGACACAAAATGCCACACATTGCATGATTCCATTTATGTGAAATGTCCAGAATGGGCAGATCTATAGAAACAGAAAGTAGATTAGTGTTTGTCACAGGCTGGGGGAAGGATGAATAGAAGTGATTGCTTAATGGATTCAAGGTTTCTTTTTGAGATGAATATTCCAAAACTATTCTGGAATTAAATAATGGTGATGGTTGCACAACCTCATGAATGTAACAACAAGAACTGACATGTACACTTTAAAGTTATAATTTTTGTAGTATGTATGTGAATTTTATCTCAATAAAAAGAATGTTAAAATATTATACAGGGCCATTGCTAGGCATTGTTATATATCCTTAGAATAAGAGAAATGAACAGATAAAAACCTGTATTCTCACGGTACTTATATTCTGGAGAAGGGGAGAGGGGGAGGGGGGGGACAGACAAATAAGGTATTTAAAACAGTATTTTAGATAGAGATAAGTGCCAAGGAAAAATAATAAAGCAGGAAATGCACAATATATGACAAATGACATTATTTCTTAAACCCATAATTGTCTCCAAGACTTTGAAAACAAGAAAAAACAATTTCATTTTTATAAATGACCTCCAGGTGGTGTAACCAGTGGCATATGATATTTTGGAGGGCAGGAACTCTATGAGGGCAGGAACTCATGATTTGTGGCCTTTAGTTCATGGCATCTGTGGGTCTCACAAACAAATGTAGAAGAGTAAAGATTCAGTTTACCAGGGAGGTTGGAGCAGGAGGATGGCTTCAGCCCAGGAGTTTGAGACTGCTGCATGCATATATATATATATATGCAATGTCTTACAGTGAGCTAGGTTCTACAGCTCATACTGAATTTCTGTTTCAGTTTTCACATTCAAGCAATAACCCTCGAGATGATATTGCTACAGAAGCATATGAGGATGAGCTAGACATGGGCCGATCTGGATCCTACCTGAACAGCAGTATCAATTCAGCCTGGAGTGAGCACAGCTTGGATCCAGAGGACATTCGGGTAATGCCAGTACTCTATCTTTCTTCCTATTTCAGATTAGCCTTATTTATACAGGCAGGCATCTGTGGGTTGGTGGGGGGTGTGTGCATGCATGTGCATTCATGTTTGTGCATGTATGTCTCAGAAAGAGGGAATGGGTTTGGGTATGAACTGAAGATGTCAAATGCAGAGTTAATCCAGTTCTGAAATATATGAACCATAGTATAAATTAGAATGCACAGGCCATTTCAGCTTTTATAAGTAGCCTGGTCAACCTCAGGAGTCTTAACTGACTTATTGGTATTCATAGTGATGAACTGATTAGACATGTTCCATAATACATGTTTATGACATCTTGCTTAGGGAAAGGTAGGATAGATCTGTGGAGCAGAGAGGAGAGCCTGGATTATTTAAAATAATCTACGACAACATATCAGCGTCTGAAGGAAGCAGATGTTTTTAGCAGTCAAAGGACTGTTACCCTCTAAGCCTAATCTAACATCACATGTAACTTTATCAATGGCTACATGATGCTTCCAATACTACTCAGGGATATGGTTCACCTATAAACAACATGCCGTGTTTTGTGCTGGTCCAGGCTCAGTCTGGTCCACACAACTTGAATGTGCAAAGTGCTTGCTCCTTAATGCAAGGTTAGAATACATGAGTTCATGTCTTAAGGTCCACGCTTTATGTGAAACAAAACACAAAAGAATCAGAAAGTATAAATGGGGAGAAAATCGACAAGTACACATGCCAGAGAAAGCTGTAGAGCAGTTGCCCTAAAGAGCCCAAGTTTACTGAATTCTAGTGCCATGTAGTGATCTTCTATGGCGAAACACTAAATTCTACACTTCTTTGAATTTGCTTTTGTTCTGGCAGGATGAGCTGAAAAAACTCTATGCCCAACTGGAAATATATAAAAGAAAGAAGATGATTACAAACAACCCTCACCTCCAGAAAAAGCGGTGCTCAAAGAAGGGCCTAGGTCGTTCCATCATGAGACGCATTACCGAGATCCCAGAGACAGTCAGCCGGCAGTGCTCTAAAGAGGACAAGGAGGGCACCGACCATGGCACAGCCAAAGGCACTGCCCTCATCAGGAAGAACCCCCCAGAGTCTTCAGGGAACACAGGGAAATCCAAGGAGGAGAACCTGAAAAACCGAGTCTTCTCACTCAAGAAATCGCACAGCACTTATGACCACGTGAGAGACCAAACGGAAGAGTCCAGTAGCCTACCCACAGAAAGCCAAGAGGAGGAAGTGACAGAAAATTCCACACTGGAATCCCTGTCGAGTAAGAAACTGACACAAAAACTAAAAGAAGACAGCGAGGCTGAGTCCACGGAGTCGGTGCCGTTGGTGTGCAAGTCAGCAAGCGCTCACAACCTCAGCTCAGAGAAGAAGCCTGGACACCCACGAACATCAGTGTTACAGAAGTCTCTCAGTGTCATAGCAAGTGCCAAGGAGAAGACTCTTGGATTAGCTGGGAAAACCCAAACAGCAGGCGTGGAAGAAAGTGCTAAATCCCAGAAACCTCTGCCAAAAGATAAAGAGACAAACAGAAATCACTCAAATTCTGATAACACAGAGACTAAAGATCCTACCCCCCAAAACTCAAATCCTGCGGAGGAGCCAAGAAAGCCTCAGAAATCTGGGATTATGAAACAACAAAGGGTCAACCCCACCACTGCCAATTCTGACCTGAACCCAGGCGCCACCCAGATGAAGGACAACTTTGACATTGGGGAGGTGTGTCCTTGGGAGGTTTATGACCTGACCCCTGGTCCTGTGCCTTCAGAATCAAAAGTTCAAAAGCATGTATCTATTGTGGCTTCTGAAATGGAGAAAAACCCCACTTTTTCCTTAAAGGAGAAATCTCACCACAAGCCTAAGGCAGCTGAAGTTTGTCAGCAATCCAATCAGAAGCGCACAGATAAGGCTGAAGTATGCCTTTGGGGGAGCCAAAGCCAGTCCATTTTGGAAGATGAGAAGCATTTCATTTCCAAGACTCCAGTTCTCCCAGAGAGGGCAAAAGAGGAGAACGGAGGTCAGCCTCATGCAGCCAAAGTGTGTGCTGGGCAGAGTGAAGAACTGCCCCCCAAAGCTGTAGCATCAAAAACAGAGAATGAAAATCTCAACCAAATAGGACACCAGGAAAAAAAGACATCTTCTGAGGAGAATGTGCGTGGCTCCTATAACTCAAGTAATAACTTCCAGCAACCTTTAATGTCACGAGCAGAGGTGTGCCCTTGGGAGTTTGAGACCCCAGCTCAACCAAATGCTGGAAGAAGTGCAGCTTTACCTGCTTCTTCTGCTCTAAGTGCAAGTAAGATAGCAGGGCCTCGGAAAGAAGAGGTCTGGGATACTTTTAAAGTGTAGCATCCCCAGGAAGAAGAGGAAAAGGAGGGAACCCCGGATTGGATAAAGACAGAAGATATAAGAATCAAAAATTCCCAAGAAGGATTTGTCAATCGAGGAAAACATGATGGATGGTGAGGTGAAGTCAGAAGTATGGGTAGAAGAGGACCTGGGGGGCAAGAGCAACAATGTCATAATGAAGTCAGACTTTGGTCAAGAAAGTCCTTCCCCTGGTAACACTAGGAAAATCTTTCCATTTCCGCATGTTTAAGGAAAATAGCCCACGATGTCTGCCCTGATCATTATGTACCCATGGGACTTTGAAGATCCTAGGCCAGGTAAACCAGGAGGCACAGAAGACGTACCAGATTTGCAAAGAAGGAAAAGGTATAAACGTATATAACTGAAATTCTAAGTAGCTGACCAAGAAGAACTTACTTTACCTATTTAACCTTGATAGCACTGCTAATTTAATGCATCCCAAAAATCTCTTTTATATTAATGATTGCTTTCATTTTCTTATCAATATATGTTTCAGTACATTGTTGTGTCTCATATTCAAGCATTCCAGATTGTATAATTTTTGCAAATAACTTTGGTATTATGTGACACAACACATTTATGCAATCTGCAGCTACTCAATTGTTATTGCACCTTACAGAATACCTGCTATCTATCAACTTTAGTTGATTCTTGAAGTACAGTAAGCTTTCTCTGGCTTCGGAAGCCATCGCTGTTACTATAAAAACTTTCAGTTTTGGCTGTGGTTTATATATTGTGACTTTGAATTTGACTCTATTATTTCACATCATGGTTTGTTATACTGTCTTAATCAGGGTTTTTTATACAAGTTGAGTTACTTGTTTTGCACTTCTTGTTAGGACTCAGAAGCTTTATTAATATTGGAGATCAAGTGGTCCTACTTAGTCATATGTCTCAATAAGTTAAGGACAACTTATCCATTGTTTATTCAAAGTCAGAGATAGATAACACCTTCATTCCAATTAATTGTCCCTTTTAACTCTTTCAGTATTTCATACTTAGCAGCATTTCCTAAGGAAGAAGCTAAGAGTGAGAAAAATATACTGTGCATTATTATTACCTTTGGAAAGGGAAGACTCTAGGGATGACATGAGAAGTATAGCAGTACTACAGACCCGGGAAGTTTGCCTTTCAAAAAAACACAGGTAGCTCCTGATAGCACTTTCAAGGGATTATTTTTTTAAAGCAAAAAATTATGGTAGCATCAAGATCGTTGTATGGATATATTTTTATTATGTGCACTGGAAATACAGTATTTTAAAATACCTTAAACTATTTATTCTCGTAAACTCTTATTCATTGCTTCAGCTAGAGGTAGAATTTGCTGGGCTCAAATCCCAAAGAGGTTTTATAACCTTATTTATTCAAAGCCTATAAGGTGGTATGGAATCTTAATTCTCCCAAGCACTGGAAAATGTCTAAGTCCTGCAAATTGCCATTGTGAGCCACTTGCTCAAAATGTAACATGTAAGGTCTATTTGCAAGGCAAAGCAGCCCCCAAAGCATATTTTATAAAGCTTATTGCATTCCACACTGATCTCTTGGCATGGGAATCCTAAGCTGCCGACTTAGCCCTACCGATATGATCATGCAATGAGATTCCAAAGCTCGGTCTCAAAGAATCACTCAGAAATAGAACTGAGACTTCCCTTTTTCTCCCTGTAAACACCGAAGTATCAACTGCTTATTTGGCCAGGACACTCCCAGCACAAATAACTATTTGTTTATGTCACAAGCAGCAAGGAGGACATGCTAGGGTGATAAAAGATGGAGAAACAGAATCAGAGGGTGGATATAGGGCTGTTCTTAGTATTATTTTCAGTGGAAGGTAAAAACAGAATTCTCCATATTCATCGTCAAATTTTTCTCAGTGATTTTTTTATTCAGGAGTAAGCAAGCACTTCACTGTTTTGCAAAGCTGTGCACAAATCTTCCTCACCCATTTGCTGGCTTTATGCATTACTCAGGTTGGTGGGGTCAGTTTGAAAAGATATAGAAATTCTATTTTTGTGTCTTTACACCATTTATTTCTTTGATCTCTTCCTTTTCAATGAAGGGCCTATATGCTTGGTGACCTCCTTTAAGGAATCTTTGTGAATTGGGTTGGAAGTTCCTAGACCCACATACTTGTTTATGTCCGAAATTTGTTAGCACTTGATTCATTTCTTGAGAAATATGCGGTCAAGCATCAGTGACTTTCTATTGCACTTCAGGATTGATCCTGCTAGAGATGTGACTTAAGAAGACTTGCCAAATTATACCTTAGCGACATTCTATAGTTCATAGATTATTCTCCACCAGCATAAATCAGTGAGAGTGCCTAGAGTCTTTCTGAGAGTTTCATTGCCATTATCAACAAGAGAAGTTGAAATTTACAAGTCAGGAAGTTATTGTTCCAGATTGATAACCACAGAAAGTGAATAAACACTTTTAAGGTCGCCAACATTTGCTAGGTTGTCCTTCTCAATGCATGTGCAGGCTGCATCCTGTCCTTGTTTTTAAGCCAGGGTTTATAAATACGTAGATTTATACCAATCTTAATAGAATTGTATATTTTATGCAAGAATTAAATGCTTTACGACATGAAGTATAACTCAACCCATTGTAAACTTTGGTGGCAATATGGATTTGAAACTCGACAGTTCTCTTGTATTTGCTTCTTAGGTTTCTGCATGCAAGTTATGACAGGTAGGACTGAAAAAACACTGCCTTTTGACGTCTAGCATTTAGCAACTGAGAGTCGTAGAGTCAATAAAGCTGTAAGTCTCTTCACTTAATCTGTGGTTCTCCTAAAACTATTATCTGAAACCTACAGCATCCCACCATGAAATATTTGGTAAATTTATGTTGTGACGTGTTGCAGCATGTAAATAATTATAACTTCTCTGCAATAAAACATATTTATATGAAAGTGATTTGTGGGGATTTGTGTGTTCATCTATAGAAAACTGAATTTATTTAGTCTAACTTTAAAGGAAATTCCATATATTTGTTTGGCTCGGTATCCTTGTGCACATACATCCTCATGTTGCCAATCTGTAGGAATATGTGATTAGTCAAATGTGGCCTCAAACACACAGGTAATCATTTGGGAAGCAAGCAAACCTATTCGTGGTTTTGATTTAAGACGGCTCTTCCCGAATGGGAACTAACTCAGCTACTTTTTTTGTTTGCTTGTTCACTCCACACACGGTACCAGGAAATCTGCTAAGAAGTGATGATACAAAGATAACCCCCCTTCAGGAACACTCAGGCCCATGAGAGTATCCAGTCACTGGTATAATAATAGGCAGATGAGCATAACTAAGGTCAGAGAAGTCTCCCTAGAGAGTTCAGGTTCACCAGGCTGAAATTCTGCAAAGGCAACAAACAGGTATCAAAGGGAAACTGTTGTAAGGCTGGAGAAGGAACTGAGCACAGACTTACACACCACGCTTCAAGTTAACAGCAGCTTCATCCTGGAGCACTGGAAGCTATAGGGAAGCTTTTAAAAGTGGCATAATGAAGTCAAAAATTAGATCATCTTGGAAGCAGCCCTGAAATGGACTGAAACGTGAAGAGACTAGAGGAAGCTAAAAAGATTAGTGTGAGAGTCATGATGAGAGAAGATGAGAGCCTAAAAAGGAGATGGAAAGATTCGTGTTTATTTCATCAAAATCACATCTCCAATTGGGTTTACTATTTTATTATACTCATGTGAAATGGGAAAAATCAGGTTACTTAGATAACTGTCAAATATAATTTTTTTTCTAAGTTTGTTGACATTTTGGCTAATTTCAAAAGCCTTGAAAGCCCTTACTGAAGACTGGTAGACCTCATATCATCTGTTCATGAGAAAAGCTGAAAAACAGGATCCCAGGTTCCTGCCATGGGAAAACTTGGTACTAACCTGGCCTGGGAAAGAAGGCGTCTGGGGCATGTTGCAGTGTGTACTGAAGTTTCTACCAGCTCAGAAGCACTCTAGAAAGACAACCAAGCCTAACAAGAGGGAAGGGGAGGGAGGCTGGTCCCCACCTCATCCCTGCACCCTTCTTTGGATGAAGCATAGCAACTATCTTTTCCCATCTGCTCACACCTTTGCCACTTACAAAATTTTCAGTTATTGCTGGACTTGCCTAGTTGACCTGCCTGACTATATTATTTTTCATATACATTGTTTGTTGTTTCTTTGTTCTAAATTTAGACTCTTTCTGCTAAAAAAAAAAATCCTAAGGGAAATCAGAAATAGACTTTATCACATAAAAATTAATAATGTAAATCTGGTGTCCTAAAACAGTGCAAGTTAGTTAAGATTTTCTTGTATCAGCATATCCCATCTTTTCTTCCTGAATAGTTGTAAAGACAGCAATCAAATCTTTCTAATTTGAATTGTTTTCTCTTTAAACATTTTGATTCTTAGAAAGTACAAGGGCAAAGTTCAAGCATCTTGTGTATTCTAATTCAGCGTTAACTGGCTAGAAGGCAGATAATGAAATGTATGAATTGATTTTTAATTTCCCTCTCTTTGCCTGTGATGTGAAAACTGCCAGAAATGAAACTGTCTGATCAAATGAACATGGAAAATAAGGGATAAATATAGGAAGAGGCCTGTGCTGCACAACAGTCACATTCCTAGAAAGAAAAATAACTTAAATATGCAAATAGAAGGTTCATGCCAATTCTTGTAGAACATACTCCCATTTCAGTTCAATCAGCAATAGAAAAGAAAAAAATTCCCTCTGTTGTGCACAAGATTCATGCAGTTTTTACTCCAGCTACACCAAGAGGTTTGATTCTTCCATGCCTTTTGTGTTTGCTCATTGGTCCAATTCAAATTCTCTCCCCTTCTCCCTGCCAACATGTTATGTACACCTTAATGCTGGAGTGATCATAGATTTTATTGGCCAAAGAAAACCTTTGAGAGTAAAAGGGCAGTATTAAACGATACACCTGGCCGGGCACTGTAGCTCACGTCTGTAATCCCAACAGTTTGGGAGGCCAAGGTAAGAGGATTGCTTAAGACCAGGAGTTCAAGACCAGACTGAGCAACATAGCAAGACCCATCTCTACAAACACACAACACACACACACACACACCATTAGCTGGGCATGGTGGCATGTGCCTGTAATCCCAGCTACTCAGAAGGCTGAGGCAGGAGGATCCCTTGAGCCTAGGAGGTTGAAGATACAGTGAGCCATGTTCATGGCTCTGCACTCCAGCCTGGGTGACAAAGCAAGACCCTGTCTTAAAAAAAAATTAATTATACCTGGATAACAGTGTAAACTGGGACTATCCCTGGCCACCCAGGATGTTTGTTTTCCCTATTCCAAGGAGGAGCACAAAGGCCCCTGTTACCTCCACGAAACTTTTCCTAATGCCTCAAGCCAGAATGAATTCCTTCTTCTCAGCTTGCCTTCGGAATTTGCTTAAGTCTCTTACTGCACTGACTTGTAATTTTGTTACATACTCCACTGAGTCATCTGCTAAATTAAGAGCTCTGTTCGTCTATAGATCCCTAATCTCCAGCAGTGTGCTTTGCCCTGAGTCCAATAAATATTTGCCCAACTGGAATTTCTGATACTAATCACTGCTTAAAATACACCTGAAGAGAAAGAGAAATTCAGAAGTTGGGTGAGAACTTGCTGTAGCATTTCAAAAATGTTGATTAACTGGACTTCCATATAAATTCTGGCAGTTCCTGGAAAACCCACAGTATGACTGAATCATGTTAATTCTAACTCTCCAGCTTTGTAACGTTTAGTATTGATTTGCCACCATAAGGAAAGAGAAGCCTAAAGTTCTGGCCATGGCCCAGTTTGTTAGAGCTATAAAAGATATTTCCATAGGTCACAAAAAGTAAGAAATATTGCATTAGGCTGTAGGAACTTGAACTTGCTTTTAGTTATTTGAACTCTTTCTGTAAAATAAAGCATGGCTAAGTCTATATAAAACATCCACATAAAAATAGATTCTGATGCTTGGCTTTCAGATGCTTCTGAGAAGTGAGATACTGAGTTTGAACAAACTATTTGGACATTTGGTTGACTTGAGAATTTCTTATCCATATGTTTCATGTTATATAGAAGTAGTCATAATATGCTTGCATATAACCATAAGTGTTTCATGTGTGAACAGAAATATATATGTTATATGTAAATACATATACACATATCACTTGTTGGAAATTGGAAAAATATATAAAAAGCATCTAAATTTGCCAAATAGTACAGATGTTAAAAGATCATGAAAAATATTTTTTCTTTTTACATCTCAAAGACTAATAGCAATATGCACATATGGTGAATAATCTACAGATTCGTCCCGCTGCCTTTTACATTACATGCTGCTTGTAAGTTGAGGAACTGAGATTTATTATTGTAGTCCTTAGACGATATTTGATGTTGGAACCATGTAAATAGAGATTAAACCACAGTCAAGGGGCAGCCAATAGGGGGTCTACTTTCTGACACATGAGAAAACTGGAAATAAAGTTGTTTAAGAGCACCCAGGCACAAACTCAGTTTCAGGACCACTTGAATGAAAGGGTCAGCAGGTTGACTGCCCTGTAACCATTTGCTGGACCATGGGAAAGCTAGAAAGGCTATCATTCAAATATATAATAGACACTCGTCCTCTTTACAGCCCCCTGTAAAGAAGGAGAGGAGTCATCTATTTTCTCAACTCTGATAGTATCCTACCTGTGCAGTCACCTGCCTCTGTACACCTCCGCCAGTGGTGAGGGACCTAGAAGGCATGGAAAAGCCCAGGCAAAGCATACCTTTCCTCTTGCTTTGTGTACCCACTTACTTTCATTAAATTTATATGTCTTCGACTAAGTTTAGAAACATGGGCAAGGAGCAATGGCTCACACCTGTAATCTCAGCACTTTGGGAGGCTGAGGCGGGCAGATCACCTGAGGTCAGGAGTTCGAGAGCACCCTGGCCAACATGGTGAAACCCCATCTCTACTAAAAAGACAAAAAATTAGCCAGGTGTGGTGGCGGGCGCCTGTAATCCCAGCTACTCCGGGGGCTGAGGCAGGAGAATCGCTTGAACACGGGAGGCAGAGGTTGCAGTGATCTGAGATCGCAGCATTGCACTTCAGCTTGGGCAACAAGAGCAAAACTCCATCTCTACAAAAAAAAAAAAAAAAAATCATAAATTAGCCAGGGATGATGGCTTGCCCCTGAAGCCCCAGCTACTCAGGAGGCTGAGGGTGGAGGATTACTTGAGCCTGGAAGTTTGAGGCTGCAGTGAGCTACAATTGCACCACTGCCCTCCAGCCTGGGTGACAGAGTGAGACCCTGTCTCAAGAAGAAAAGGAAAAAGAAAAATAACAGAGGATGAAAAAAAAATCAGGAGTACAAGACCTTGTTTTGAAACTTGGTTCCACCACCAGATATGTCTGGTTTGGAAAAGTCTCTTCAATTTTCTGTGTTTACATTTCTTCACCTGAACAAGGGAAGTTTTGAAAGAGATGACATCTCAGGACCTTTCTCATCCAATGACTAAGATTGTGTGTGTGTGTGTGTGTGTGTATGTGTGCATGCTTGCACACGTGTGTCTGACTGAAAATTTTCATTTTGCATTAAATTGCTTTGCTAGAATGGATATAGCCCCTCAACATCTAGTCAAACATTTGGCAATTTTAAAATCAGCTAGAGAAGACACACACATGAAAGGGAGCAGAAGTGTGATAAATAACCTCCAATCCCCCTTGATTTTTGATAAATATATTATACTAAGATACTCATATGAAGTTCTGGGGGAAAAAAAGTCATAGGAAATTTGCTTCAAAAAGCAAAATGAAGCCAGAATGAAGACCTGAATGAAAAGAGGCTGGAAAGCAGTGTGCTTTCTGAGTCCTGTTTTCTTGCTCTGTCTCACTATAACTCAGTCTTTGCTGGGAATTGATCTGCTTCTTCACGCAGAAGTG